ACGACTCCACTTTGCCATACCCCCGAGACATCCGCAGAGCTGAGGCGGCGTATGGACTTCGGACCTGACGGCGATTAAATCCTTCTGCCCTTGGTTGCACGAATTACGCAAGAAAATGTTCTAGCCGGAGCATCAGGGGAGAGACCAGCCGGCCCCCAGACCATATCGGCTAATCCCTTGCATCTCTGCCACGCACGGAATCGGTTGAAAAAATACTGTTAAAAAGTCTAGCCTATTCGGTGCATTGTTTTCACGGCTATTGTTATGTTGATTCACCTTGAACCGTGGTCCAGTGGATAAATCGTTGTCGTTCAAGCTACTGAGTCAAGCTCGCCCGAGGAGGGTTAGCACCTGGATGGGTGACCCGAAGGTTGTACCTACTCAAGGTCTTGTTTCTATTTTTCTCTTTTATTTTTTTTTTATTATTTAAAAATCATAGAATAAATATCAAACTTTGCTATATTATAGTGTAACCGATTCCTGCCTACTTGAATGCTTTATCCGAAAGGACAATAGCTAATCTCACAAATAAGATGTCCTTTTAGATGGTATTATTCTCAGAAAAATGATTTTTAATTTTTCTGAACCATTYATTTACTTAATCTTTGTGAGTGTCGTCGAGGCCACTGAAATTTTTWAAAAACTCAGTTCAGATAAATACGTTTTTTTATAGTGGAAAATCTTCATTATCTTCTCCAATTCCTCATTAACTAGTTTTAGGRAAATGAGTCCTAATTTTCTGAACCATTTCTCTACTCTTAACTGAGAGGAGAAAAAACGCGAGTTTTGGCACTTTTGACTTGAAGCTCACAAGTTGGTTCAAAATTCATTCGGGATGAATAAATTATCTCTGTGAGTGACGTTGAAGCCACTAAAATGTTTCAAGAGCTCACTTCAGATAAATAAATCTTTTTCTTATGGAAAATCTTCATTCTCTTCTCCAATTTCTCATGAACCAGTTTTAGAAAAATGAGTTATGATTTTGTGAGCTATTTTTCACGAAAACACAAGTCTTGGCACTTTTGATTTGAAGCTCACAAGTTGGTTGAAAATTCGCTTGGGATGAATAAATTATCTCTGTGAGTGACGTTGAAGCCACTGAAATATGAGTAGACAAGACTGATTCAGATAAATAGCTATAATTAATTTTCATAACCATAATATACACATTTTTCCTGCTTTTTATAGTTTTTTCTGTTTGTAARTGATACAACTAAATTTTGTATTAGTTTGACTATAATATAATTAGTTTTTGATGAAAATCTAAATAAGCGAAGAAATTCTGCTTGCTAAACCAGGACTTTTCGATTTAGCCCAAGCGTTTACCGGCCTATTGTGTTCCAAAATGGTCGCATCAAAATCATTTCTTTGCTGCGCCCTTAAAGTCGGTACGCCGCCTTGCGTAGCAAGCAACGACCGAGGGTGTGACGCACTGGGAATTTGATAACTTTGTATTCTATTCGTGTTGTCTTGGATACGAAACGTTGCCATGGAAATGTCTTTGTTGCTTAGACTTCGGCGATATTTTCCTTTAACCGGCGTGTCYTGATTTCCAGCAACAATTGTATCAATGTCGCAATCAATAAATCCTCGTTTGAATGGAGGTTTCTTTATCGAGCTAGAAGCACTAGTCATATTTTCAGTTTCTCTTTCGTAATTTGCTATTTTCTCCTGGCTTTTATTCGCTGAAGAGAGTGCTTCACCATCTTCTTCTTCTTCAGAAAACTTGGCTGATAAACCAACCAAATGTTTTCTTTCCTGGCGTTTCTTTTCTTTGAGTTTTTGCACGCTTTCCTTCCAGGCCAACTTCTGTTTTCCACTATCTTTCATCTCTAGATAATTCATCCTAGTTCGTTCAGAATTTTGACTTTTTTCAAATACTAAACTCGCTCTGTGTCCTAAGTATGGTTTTGCTCGTGGTTCAGAAAGATCAGGTCTTGGTTGTAGTGGATTCTGTTGTCGACCCCTTGAAAACTCAGGGACAACTTGCATCGACTCAACCGTGCCTCGCCTATTGTATGAAGGGTTGACAAAGCTTGAAGTGTAATTAGGTAGAGGAGAAGGTGGGCCTTTGTCTAAAAGTTGATTGCTATCCTCCAAACTCACTTCATCTATTTCCGTCTCAGGGGTCGCTGCGGTTTGACGAGATGCAGCCGTCTTTTTACGCTTACGAACAGCCAAAAAGAAGACCGCAATAGGACAACACGAAGCAAGCCCAAGAGCTGTGAAGACGACGATATATACTTCTGTAGGTATAAGGCCTGATTTCTTTTTCGGTTCAAATTTTTTCGTTGCAATAGGTAAGGTGAAATCTTTTGTTATGGGGGGTAGGGTAAGGAGTGAGTCGTCGCTTGGATGGACTGATGGCGATGTGGTCGATGGCGATGATGTGGATGGCGATGATGTGGATGGCTCTGCAATAAATTGAAAAAACTTTCGTAAATCTCGATAAAATAGATATATTGTTTCGCTCAGAAAAGTACCTGTCGGATCGCAGTAATAATCAAAAGATCCCTTGGTAAATATTCCTGTAGCGAAGACTTGTGTATTCGCGATTTGAACGAAGAGTCTATTATTTTGGACAGCTTCGGTCAGGTTCTCTGCAATGTCGTTCATAGAAAATCTTAAAACATGTCCCTCATTTGATAAGTTGAAAGAAATTAGACTCTGCAATTCAATGAAAATAGAAGTAAGTTAAACTTGAGCACTTTTTCTATTTATATATCTATTTGGGATATTTTGCCCACAAGCTGGTGCTGCACAACATAATCTTGCAAAGGGTATCAAGGGTAGCATAGCGCGGTAGCACACTCGCTTCTCACCTCTGGGTCACACCTCTGGGTATTAACAAAAGGAATACAAGTTTGCCTCATTGGATTAAGAAAACGAGTACCGATTGCACGCGCAAGTCGTACCTTGTTAAATTTGCCAAGAGATTGTTACAAGACTACTTGTCCGACGATGGAAAACTTAATGAGAAAAAGCCAATTCAGTTTTACATATTTGTGTTCACCGTACTTTCCGTTTTACTATTGAGCAACACTTGAAGGGTTGCCTTGCAATACTCACGCGCAAGAAGGTTGAAATCTACCGAAAACGACTGCTGGATTCTCAGTAGAGCAGATTTCTCATGCATTAATTTTACAAACAATACCCGGGGGTCGTGCCGTGTCCAGCATTCTGATTGGATAAATAGCAATCAGCGCTGTGATTCGTTCAACATGTACCGTGTCGTGTATCGTGATTTTGCGCACCCATATTGTGTATAAAAAGATGATTTTTTGATATTACCTTCGTCAAATGAATACCACGGGTCTTACTAGCTAGAGACTCCCCAAGTAATCTATAGACAGCATCTTGTAAACTCTTTGTCGCTTCTCGTATCTGTTCATCCGTTAAAGGTGTGACTGGCCATGGATGCATATTTAGCTGGATCTGTAAACTGAAAATGTGGATAAATCAATAATTACACGAGCAACATAGCACATGTCATAAGGCCCATGTCTTAAAGAAGGATGTTTGACTGCGGGCTCAACTATAATATAGCTTTGCGCATGCGCAGCTTCGAGTAGCAGATCTTAAATGAATGAGTACAATAAAAGTTTTACGCGATCACATGCCGGCAGCCATGTCGGATGACAGGAGCAATACCATCGTTTTACATGAGAAAGAATTAAATTCCCAAAAGGGGTTTTATGGTTCTGCCATCTAACATGCCGTGACCATGTAAGAGCTCTGTTCAACTTTCTCGACCAAGTATTTATTTCCCTACTCAGTGTACTCCCTGGAACTCTTGGCAGTATAAACTCGTTTAACATTGGTTGTTGGACCAATACTGAAAGATCTTGCTTCAACTGCTGCCTTGATTTTATCGCGGTGACTTAACACAGGTATCCCATCTGTTGTACCGTGTATGGTGATGCCTATTCCTGTCTGCAATGATAAAGGAACACAGCCTACCATTATGTTATCAATAGTCCCTTTCACAGTTCCCTGCGCCATCTTGAAAAATGCCCGTGCCTTTGCATCGAAGCGAAACGAATGGTGAGCTTGCAATGATAGAGACCTTTTTCAACACCTTAAACAATTATTCACACCGCAATGCCTTTTTCTCTCAATAGTCCCCTTCACAGTTCCCTGCGCCATCTTGAAAGGTAGCCGTGCCTTTGCATAGAAGCGAGACGAACTCTGAGCTTGCAATGGTAGATGCATGTGAACAATTGTCCAAGGTGTTAAAAAAGGTCGTAGCAGGTAAATGATATGAAAATATCTGAGAAGCTTTTCAAAAGGTAATAGAATGAAATGCATGCTCATTCAAGGTAACGATGAAAACGTGGTCATGTCATGATGCTTAATTAATTGTACGCATTTATCGTAGCCATAAATTAAAAAGTCGGCGGTTGCAGTATCATGAATTTACCTTGTTATATTCAGGGCTATCCAACGCAGTCGTTGTTAGTTGAGGTGACACCTTCAACACAGTTTCGACGAAAGATTTTCCAAGCTTGAACTTTTGTGATGAAGACAGCTTGGTGAAGTCGTTGCATGGAAAGAGAATGAGTAACTTTATTCTACGAAAAAAATATAATAATGATGGATAATCGTATAGCTTTTGATGATATAGTATGAAAAAGGATTCAAGATCGCCATGTTTTGGAGCAAACCAATAGTTGTTTTCTCCTTATTGCAATCTTTTGAAAATCTCTTTTCATACAAAGACATTGCATCGTTTCTTCCCTACAATGCAACATTGCTGCCATGCGTGCCATTGTATATAAAATCACGTTAGAACAAGTCTTTTCTTACATGCAGATAATAGACAATACAGTAGTTTTCGTATGAGTGGGAAATATACGGTACTGACTTACAGCACACACACGGTACGAAATGCCGTAACATTGGAATGGCTTCCCATAAGAATGGTTCATCGTATGAGTGGGAAACGTACAGTACTGACTTATAGGACATACATGATACGACATACCGTAACATTGAAATACTTCCCATAAGAATGGTTATCCTACGAGTGGGAAACGTACTGTGTTGGCTTACAGCACGCACACGGTAAGACATGCCGTAACATTGAAATTCTTTTCCACTGTCTTCTATTTTGATCTAATCACAACGCGTATTCATAGATACGGTAAGATACAGTATGACTATAGTAACGCTATGAATTTACCGTATTGTGTCCCACTCACACGAAAACAATACAGGACAAGATCAACAAACCTTTGACCAGTTCTGCAGATTTTGCTACATGTTGGAAGAGTGGAATGACGACACCAATGACATGTACTTGAAGCATTACAATCGATCTCGTTAGTACTGGAAGAAAAAAACCCAACAATATTAATACGTTGTTTTCTCATTATATTCAGCAGAGAGATTTTAAAGGAATCTTTCGGTAGCCTTTCCCAACATGCGCGTCGCATAGATTGATATTTTTCGTTCCATGAGCCTGCCTTTCTCTTAGTCAGCACCGTTTTTCGTTCCAACGCATGCGCAATAAAATTAATAGATATTAGTGACATTGGGCCAATCACAGCGTGCGTTGAGTCGTCACCGCGGTCACGTACAAAGCGCGCCAGGCAATGTTTATCGCAAGTATGTTTTTCATATCCAACCAAACTCGAGCGTAACATTTATTACTTATCCTAAAAAACACACGAATATATCCTTTTCGAGTTCCAAATTAACTCTGTGTTCCTGGATTGTAGATTTGTTTACTCAGACTTAGCTTTGCATCAGTGTCTTATTATTCACAAATACCAACGGTAAAGTAAAGAATGAACAATTTCAACAATACAAACACTTTGAAATTCCATTGACTTTCACTGGAACTCGTCAATATTCTACACAAAATCGAGGCTAGCCCCGAGCAACAGAGAGCTCGAAACTGGAGTATTAATCAAGCGTTTAAAAAATTTGTCCCTTTTTAAAGCAAGTGTACTTACAGAGATTTACAAGGTGTTGGACAGGATGGAACTTTCATTAAAGCATCCATATTGGTTCTTACTCCAACTGCGGTGTCACGAGGCTTCGGGATGGATGCTATATAAAAGAACGATATATTCATATGTTACCAGCTAGTATGTGTGATAAAGGCCCTTGCACCACATCGATCTCAATCTAGGGGTCAAGACAAAAGGATACCATTTTCGAGTTCCAAATTACCGCTGTGTTCCTTGATTACAGACTCATTTACTCAGGGTTAGATTCGTATCAGTGYYTAAATTAACATTCACAATGACCAACGGTAAAGCAAAGAATGCACAACTTCAACAATACAAACACTTTGAAATTCCACGGACCGGCTTCACTGGAACACATCAGTGAATATTCTGCACAAAGTCAAGGCTAACCTGAGCAACTGAGAACTCGAAACTGGAGTTATATTCACTTCTTTTGACAATTGAATCTTTGGTGACATCAATATGTTGTTTCATTGTATTTACAGCCAAGTTTTAGAGTGGTTTTCATAAACCCGTGAAATACGCTTTAGCATATTTACCACTACTTCACTCTAATTCTTTTGTTTTCTATTTTGTTTATCTTACTATTACACTTAATTTAGTACACTTTGTTTCACGGGTTAATAAAAACCACTCTAGTGCAAGAAGTGTTAAAAACGGAAGACTTAAGGTAGTAGTTTCTGCAGTATTACCTGGACAGGGAATTCCAGTCCAAAGTCCAGTAACTGAGTTGGTACATTCATCATAGCGCATTGAACAGGTACAAGGACACTAGAAGATACAAAATGAAGGTTCGTGAGTATTCATTTTTAATACTATAGATACTATTAAATACTAGAGTTAAGTCACTAAACCCGTGAAATAGATATTAGACTAACATACTTTAGTAGATCCTAATTCGTTGTTTTCTTTTGTGTCTATTTGACTACTACACGTTGACTAGTATTTTTCATTTCACGGGTTAAATGCCTTCACTCTATACGACAAAGCCTGATAGACGAATATGATCATGTTTTTCAACGATATTTTTCTCACCTGGCATGGAGATAGATGTCCAGTACAGTTGGAACACTTAGCCTCACATTGATTACATTCCTACAACAACAGCAATAATGACAGTTACATTGTCAATCACGAGCTAGCCAGAGTCGTCCGGGCTTTTAGTCATTGGACTAGCGACGTAGCAATGCATTCATTTCCTTGACACCACAAGCTTTAAAACTACACATTTATGTCGAAACATTCTGCGAGAATAATAGGAAAGAGGCCGCGTGGTAATTAGACGCGCCTTAAGTACTGCTACGTAACAGTATTCATGCATCCTGTTGGTTGATCTGGGATATGCGGATTCATCTAGTTGGATTACCGGATCTAACAACAGTATAATGTTTCGACATAAATGTACAGCATAATTCTCTGTTATATAAACTGATTGGATTGTGGGATTGAATAGGTGGACAAGATCAAAATGCTCCACAATAGCCCACCTCCGGGAAGGTTTCAGTATGAGGCTACGTGGGCTATTGGCCTTTTCTGAGCTTAATAAACAGGATGCATTGTGGTCTAGTTTGGGCACAAACAACACCATATAAGACATGATGAACAAAAGATTTTTGTACCCAAGCTAGACCACAATGCACCCATGATCATGTTCGCATGTATGCACCATGATCTCAGAAAAGTTTTATTCCGTGCCTAATATTCAGCACCAGRATCCTATGCGTGACGGAGAGGTTACCACTATTCCAGACACTCTATTATACTGAAGATATCTTATATAAAACTTGCGTATATATAGCTCGCGTTCTGATTGGTTGGGAGCGCGTGCTTTATGAGAGCACATAGCACGTTCTTGTGCTTGTTGTGCTGTGTACATGCAGTTGCAATGCACTTGGAGATTGGCAGAACACTCGAGAATTGTTTAGAAGTGTTTTACGCACGCTCGTTTTCTATTTCCTCATTATACCTACCGACACACCAATCTCGTTACATCCATACRTGACCCGTGAGCGCACAACCAGTAGATAAGCATTTGTATTAGGTAAGGGAGTAAGTAGGTACTGACGGCATGGGGAAGTACCATTAGACGATGTAATACCATTACCAGGAAGAACCAGACTGTGGAACAACTGTACCACGTGGTCCTCCAGATTATTACACCAAGATGTCTGAAAAATGTTAAAAAAAAATATTATAAGGATGCATAAAACCTATGGGGGGGGGGGGGGACGAATGGGGTGGGGCGTTCATATCAAGTTATAAGGATGGATACACCCTTTGGGGGTAGGGCTTGGGTTAGGTTAGGCGTTAAGGGGTCGGTGTCCATACACGACTTTCAAAAAAAGGGCCGCCAAACTCGGTTGGGACAAGGGACAATTGAATGGAAGCGAGGTAAGTAAGGCCTCATTAGTAAACTAAGTCTACTCAGTACAATATTTTGTGTCAAAGTCATTCACCCTTACTTCAATAGACTCTTAAAAGAACTCGAATTGTGAAATGGTGAAATGAATGACTTTCACACAAAATATCGTACTGAGTAGACTTAGTTTACTAATGAGGCCTTACTTACCTCGCTTCCATTCAATTGTCCCTATAGTCCCAACCGAGTTTGCCGGCCATTTTTGAAAATCGTGTGTTCCAATTCCATCCAAGAGTCCTGCTGTATAAGTAACATTGGAATAACCGTATTCGGGGGTTTGAGGTAGCGAATGGCGGTGGAGTAAAGCCGGGACGTCCATGAGAAGGTGGTGAACTGACATGCCACTAATTGTACCTTAACAAAGTTGCCTTGTGAAGCTAAACTCGACGCCAGCCATGGAAACATCTGGGTCACGTGATGTGAAGTGACCTTATTTGGTCTAAATACATCCGTAATAACATACCTGTTGTTTTGTGCAAAATAAATTTATAGTTACCATAGTTTACACATGGTTTCATTTAAGGGAAATTTATTATGGAATATTATAATTCTAGCTTTTTTTCACTTTTTCTTTTTCAGGTTAAATTTGTGATTTTTAGTGACGTCACGCAACGCTGAGAAAGTGTTGCGTGACTAGTCGGTAGTCACAGACTCATTTACTCCGGTTTAACCTTGTTACAGACACAAAAGAAATAATACTCAAGGAGAAAACATATGTCAGGGTCTTTAGAAGGAGAATCCGCGCTTCTTACCCACTGTTGTCCATGATAAAGCAGTCTTGTTGGAGTTTATCGCACAATCCAGGCTGATGATAAAAGATGAGGATAAAACTCATGAAGATCTCAGACACTGCCCGAGTAAATGTGCACAGTACATATCAAAGAAAAGTTTTCCTATGAGCAGACGGACATATAGAGACTTTGCGYCAACACGTGACGGCAGCCATGACAGGAGACAGGAACAATTGAATCTGGTCTAATCTGATTTACAAGAGAAAGAATTCAGTTTCCCAGGGGAAAAGACTCCATTGTTGTCTCTACGGTCATGGCTGCCATCACGTGATGGTGCAAAGCCTCTATAGGACGTACGTTGCGCAACCTTTCCAAGCACATAAATGGCTTCCCATTGTAGTCGCTCGCTTCATCCAATGAAAKATTGCGGTTAAGGTAAAAAACGGTACGGCTACTCGTAGAAAAACCGCTCTAAATCTCAACCCAAACTTACGATACGTGTTAGAAGAATCTCGTTAAATGAAGTCTGCGAGAGCTGTATGCCGATGACACCAGCGATTTGACTGGATGATGGGATACCTGTGTTGCATCTAGTAAAGAAAACAAGTGCAGACATGAAGTACCCCCCAGGGAAACATTTTATAGGTGATACACTTGCTTTACAGTGCAACTAGTATAACGGGGCCACTGACTTACACAGCTAACCAATCAAAATGTAGGAATGAAAGCAATGCATTACAACTTTGAATAGTTGAGCAAATCAGAAAAAAATAGATTGAACGAGAACGGTAATTTGACCGTTCAACAACYAGATAGCCATCTTCATTTTCTCGTGGAAATAAAAGGATATGTGGAAAGGCTATTTGTTTTCTGTTGGTTTTCATTTTTCCTCCACCACCCAAGGTTGGAATGTACTGTTTTCATTCTACATTTTGATTGGCTCTCGCGGTTTCGGTAGCTGCACTGTTAATACCTCACACTAGTTTTTAGCTAATTATCTCTCGTTAATACCTTGGAGCACTGAAAGTCGTTACCAAGGACAGCAAGCTGCCTGGGATTTGTAGACCACTAGAGTTGGACGACGGACGTGATATTGTTAGGTGCCCTGCGTTACTGACAGCTCGTGTGTACCTAAAACAGCATACGAAATCGTTAATTGCAGCTTACTTGGGAATTCTTAAGCTTGGGGTGCAGTGCGACCACGTGACTCAAAATCCCTTGAGAAATAAATACCAATGAAACAGCCGCCATGTTGGTTGATATGATCTAACGATAGAAGTTAATGAGGAATGTGCATGCTTTGATATCGTCACCCAACATGGCGGCTATGACGTAACATGGTACACACACCTCTCACCTCTGAGGTCTCGGGTTCGATCTCTGGACTTGGCATTATATTTGAGTAGAGTTTGTTAGATCTCTCCCTTCATTCCAGGGTTTAATTTTCTCTGTAGAGTGGCGGATCCAGGATTTTCAAAGCGGGGTCCAGACCTAGACTGCGCATGCGTGCATTTCGACACAGGTAGTCCATGCAGTTGGTCGGGGAATGGCGATGATTGATTTGGCGATGTTTGGAATACAGTAAAACCCCGGTGAAAAAAAAAAAACGGGTGCAGCGGAACCCTTCGCACTACCCCTAGATCCGCCACTGCTGCATTCTCCGGTTTTCTTTCCTCTGCAAAAGCTAACAAGCTAATTTCAAATTTGATCTGTGAGTTTGCCGTGCCCTGATTTTGATCAGCCTTAACTCGTCTGTACACCAAAACCTAAGGTGGAATACTGAGTAAATCTTTTATCCTTACCATGGCTGCCTAAGGTGTGAGTRGGTCTTCTGTAGTCTAATACCAGGAAACACACGAAACACGCCGCTATTTGTAGCTACAAACCTTGTCAGTTAAGAAAGAGAAAGAGAGAGAAAGAAAAAAGCGTTATTCCATAAATGCATGTATACAGCGTATGAGTATGATTTTTTTTACCTCCATTCTACCACGCTGGGGTTCCTGTGCACAGACTCGTTCCAGGTCTTTTCTAGCTGTGCGGTCAACATGACGTCCACTCGAACAGACTCGCTCAAATCTACGATAGGGTGGATGGTTGATCCTTGGTTGATTAGGAGTTTTTAACTTAGAAAAGGAAACAAAAAAAAAA